GTACCCCACCACAGAATGCAAGTTCTGTGGGGACAGAAAGTATATTTTTCCTCTGTGTCTTTGGCAGGTTGCACGGACAGCATGGCATACAGTTACATAAATGTTAGCTGAACAACTCTGTTCCCATAAGGCTTACACATCACTCTAATACAGTATGTGAGACATTACATTCTAGTGAATTACATTACATTCTGTGCTTTCTGTATTTCTCTCCTACTCTGTGAGCCCTGGGAGGGCAGGGATAAGGCTAGATTTCCCTCTGCCACCCCAGGGCCAGGCACATAGTCAGCCCTCAGTCTCTACTTGGGGAAAGAGCCTAAGAATGAAGCTGACTGAGAGAAAAGCCAACACCAGATTTTTGAGCACCTGAATCCATCTATGCCTGAAGCCATCAACCACTGGGCTTAATGACCACAAACTAGAAAGAAACATAGCAGAACCCAAGGATGGCATCAGGAAAACAAGAGTACACCATGCTTCACTGACTGCGGCGCTGTCTGTTGACACAGATGTCCTACTACACTTAAATTCCACCGAAGGAGGTCGAGTGCTGCGGGTACCACCTCCCGCTCATGAGCCTCATCACCACGTACGTGAGTCGGACTGAGCCCACGGCCACAGAGCTCCAGGGGCTCCCGGAGACCCCGCGCACATCCAGACGAGCCTCACAGCTCCATCGCCACCATCAGCTTCAGGGACCGTTAAGACCAGTCCCGTCATGGCCTGGGACCCAGTCTACCTTGGTCATGCCTCACTGTGACACATCTGCAGGAGGTGCACAAGGGCCCAAGAACAGGATCTTCCTACAGCCCTGAGTGGGCCAGGCTGTGCTCACACCACTGCCCGTGAGAGCAGTACCTCTGAGGTGTCCACCCTTGCCCTCGCTGCCAGCACCCCACTCCCCCGCTCCCAGCACCATCAACCGCCGCCTCCTGGGTTGCTGAGGACATAGGGCTATTTTCGCAGAGAAGTCCTCCGACTGGCCAGCGTCAGACAGGTTAGGAGAAAATTCTGTACTCACTGAGACGGAATGACTCTCGCTCTAGCAGAGAAGGGCTGGAAGCGTCAGGTGTGGTTCTAGGTGTCAAGTCGTGGCCCAGACAGGGCCATCATTTAGTGTGCAGGAGCTCAGCATCGAAAGATCACATCGATGATTTCTAAAAACCAACCAATAATTTGGGGCTTAATAGAATAATTTGATGAATCATTCTCACTTCAATTTCTAACTCAGTAGTAAATGGTTTCATAATACATAGAAAATAAAAGTGAACATTTAGTTTTGTCTGCTATATTAATCCGTGTGAGCTTCCCAGCTGCTGAATACTTTGAATGCCATCCCTACCTCCTTGCAACCTGAGCCATCCAGTTCATGGGCTTACCCTTGACCCTGACATTACCAATGACCACGCTCCACAATCTCAGTCTTTTGCATCCACTCTGACTCCCAAGCCCTACTCTTCCGGCTCACTCCTCTGAGCCCCCAACCAACGACTCCCCGACCCCCACCCCAGGCTTCCCATGCACTGATGCGCCACCTTGTCACCGCCCTCCTTACTCAGCTTAGAGTGTGGTCCATCTTCATTATCACTGGCATTTCCCACTCCCCTTCTTGCACCCATCTCACAGACACCTATCCTGGTTAAAGGCAACCCTCCAGGTAGATAAACTGTAGTGGCACCCTACATGTGGCCAGAGAAACCCACGGAATCTCAAGAGGGACCTTGAAGCCACCGACACACATACTTCATGTCTGGAGCCTAGGCCATGCTACCTCCCATCCTCATGGAAAATAATCTGACTCCCTTACTCCTTCTTCGAATCTCTAACCCTGCCTCCCCTTCCTCATTCTCCGTGGATGATCCTGCTTCTCATTTTATCAAGAAAACAGAATCAACCAGAAGAGGAGTGTCACAAGCCCCCACCATGTCTACTCATCCCCTGCACCTGCACCCACAGGTGTGTCCTTCCCTTCTGATGCAGTGGACACACCATCATCCACCTCTACGGCCACCCTCGTTCTTGTGTCCTGGACCTCATCCTCTCTCACACTGCTCCTCTCTCTGGGTCATCAATTCCTCCCTCTCTGCTGGAATGTTCCCACCAGCATCATGCCTTAACATCTCCCCCCAACACAGAGTAGTAGACACCCCACTAGCAGAGTAAAGGGAGGCAGAGGGAGGCAGAGGAAAGGAGATGATAAAGGCTGTGGTGGGGTGGGGACTCAGGCAGCCTGACCAGCATGTGCAAAGATCCTGTGGTAGGAAGGAGCATGCAGAAAGGAAGGCCAAGTTGGCAGGTGCACAGAGAGGGAAGCGGGTGAGAGGCGAGGCCAGAAAGAGGTTGAGGTCAGGCCCTATTAAAAGCACTGAGAAGCTGTTGAGTGTTTTAAGCTGGAGGTGGTTTGATCAGATTTGCATTTTCAAAGGATCACTATGATAACTCTGTATAGGATAAGAGTGAGTGCAAAATGACCAGTGGAAACGCTACTGCAGTCCACCAGGGAAGCAAGGATGGGGGCCTGGCGATGGCTGATGGAGAGAAACTGATGAGTTTGAGAGAGGGAGGAGCTAATACAGCAGGATGTCATGATGGATGGAACCTGCAGTGAGCAGGAGGAGCGATGTCCGTGATAATGAGTGGGCTCACGCTTGCACCAGGGAGCGATGCAGAGGCCCTCCCTGAGCTAGTCGGTGCCTCCGAAGACCAGGCTTGATGGAAAGATCATGAGTTCAGGTCTAGACCTGTTGAACATATAGTGCCTTTAAAACATCTACCAGGGGACATCAAACAGGTATACAAGCCCAGGTCTGGACCTCACAGGAGAGGCCTGGGCAGCTGATTATTTCACGCAGCCTCATAACAAGCCTCTCTTTGCCCTTCTGTGCCGGGCACTGCACTAGGAGCCAACGGTCAGCCCAGGGATGGCTGAGACAGGTTTGTGCAGAGGGGCAGCCGGGCCACATGTGCATGCGGCCCTCAGGAGAGTGATGTGGCAGCTCCACCTGCGAGCCCTCAATTTGGGGTTCGGCACTGTCCCCGATTTGTTAGGAGCCCTGGGGCACATCAGGACCACTCCTCACACCTCACCTCCTGCAGAACTCCTTAAAAAGATGCCTGGCACTGAGCTGGCACTGGCGAAACATTTGTCAGATTGAATTGAGAGAAAATGAAAGTGCTTTTCAAAGTGATTTGTAATTTTAACAACAGGGAGAATATCATATCCTCTTAACGGCGAGAACTAAGACACTTCCCAGGAGAGAGGGGTGTGTGGTTGGGAAAGGGGATGAGCTACTAGGAGGAGGCTGAGGCCTCCTTCTAATGGACCAAGGTGCGTGAAGGCCGAGGAGAGGTGTCCTCGGAATGACAGAGCAGTGGGGGGACAACGAGATGGGCGGTGAGCAGGAAGAGAGATTGCCCAGGGCACCAGAGAAGAGACCTGCCCCATGGGGGCATCTTGGGTGAAACTCTGTGCTCTGGGGACTCCACAGAGCTTCTGCAGGATTACCAGAAGTCCCCACATGCTCTGGGTATTAATCTTACAGAAGTCTGGAAAGGAAGTGAATTTGGTACAGAGACATTCGGGGGCAGGCGGGGCAGGGGGATTCAACCATTTTTCTGTAATATGTAGCATATAATAGTAACTAGAAATATCTAAAATACTTAACTTTATAGAAGTACGCTTATATCTTATATATGCAAGTATATGTAACATATACAAGTCTATGTAATAATATCTTAAAATTCCTAAATAATATCTAGAATACATGATAAAACTTACTTTGGGGGACAGGGAGGCTCAGGACTTTATAGGAAAATAAACTGCTAACATGTATTGAGGACTGTATTAATTAGGTTATATTAGCTACTGTCACAGAAAAATCCCAAATGTCAGTGGCTGAATATAGTCAAGGTCCATTTCTCTCTCGCAGCAATGCCCCCAAGCACATCCACTAATGTGCCAGGCACTGCTCTGAGCACTTTATATGTGTCAGCTCATTTAAGCCCCATGACAATCTACAAAGGCAGGATTCCTAGGATCTCCACTTTCAGATGAGGAAACTGAGGTATCTCAGTGGGGCTGAGCTGGACCCAGGCTGTCCAACTCTCAAACCTGCCTTCTACCCTCTGCATCGTATCTCCCAGCACAGGTCTCAGAGAAATTTAGGCAACATTGCTGAACCTAGGCTGGCACTAGGACCACAGTGAATGAAACAGATAAAAGTCCCTTCTGTCATGAGGCGGACATGATTTAAATTCTATTCTGTGCATCTGTCTTTATAAAGACTGTGTTGCCTGAGCCATTTCTCACCTTCCTGCCGAGCAAATCAGAGTCAAAAGCCCCGATTCCATCATTCCCTGAGTACTTCTTCAGTCATTTGGCCTCCCTGAGACCCAGTTTCTTCATCTGTAAAATGGAGATGAAAATACCCTCTCCTGGGCCTGTGGCAGAGGCAAAATGAGTGGTAGTTCAAAAGTCCAGCTGAGGGCACGGCCCTATGCGGGCTCACCCCCCAGGCTTTCACAGCTATTGGAGCCTGGGTGCAGTGAATTTCAAGCCACTGCTGCGGGAATGTGTGTCAGGATCAGTCTGGGGTCTGCCTTCTTTGGAAAGTGATCTACTTTCTCTCACATAAAACGCGGGGTGACTCCCAGCCGAGCTGGGACACAGAGGCGCGTGTACCCACATGGTTCATCAGCCTCCTAGGTGGCAGTCTCCAGCCCCCCAAATCAAATCTCCGGTGCCTGCAAAGCCCCAGCTAATCCTCAGAAGCCTGGGTGCAGGGAAGGAAGGCTGAGTTTTGAAGTCTTAGGCCTTAGATCCTCACCGCATTGCCACGGGGGTGGGATGGGGAGGTGTTGATTTACCAGGGGGATGTCCAAATAGACAAAGTGATACCTTTCTTCAGGGGCGAAGGACAGAGCTGAGCCAGCTTCGGAAGAGTGTGCACTAAGCCCCTGGGAACTATGATGTCTCATGTGTCCTTTCTCCCGTTTTCCAGGGAACTTCAAAGGTCTCTGCAAGCAAATCGATCACTTCCCAGAGGATGCAGATTATGAAGCTGACACAGCAGAATATTTCCTCCGTAAGTGCATGCAATTTTTTTTATTTTCTTCTTGGGTCCTTCCTTTGCTGGGTTCTGCCTTCCAACCTTCAGAGCTCTAAAGACCAGGACTATCGAGAGGTCCCTTCTCAGCAGAGGGCAGGAAAAAGCAAAACCTCCCTCCATTCCTTCCGTCCAGAGACCAAATCTTCATGTATGCTGTTCCCTCTGCGTGTAACACTTTTCCCTCCCTTCTTTGGCTGGCAAACTCCTAGTCATCCTCCTGATCTCAGCTGAAACATCACCTCCTCTAGGAAGTCCTCCAGGCCCCTGAATGGATTCCCAGAGCACAGAACCTGTATCGTGCTATGGGGTCCTTGTCTATTTGAGCAACCATCTCCCTCACAGTCCTGCCAACACTGCCTGGCCAGGAAATCTGCCTTTCTCGTTCACCATTACATTCTCAGCCCCGTGGCCTGCACACAATAAACACTCAGTCGATATTTCTTGAATAACTGAATGAAAAAACCCATCAGGCAGTGCCAGATTAGAACTTCTACTAAAAAAATAAATGAGATTTTTTTTCTTCCTCCACAAGTCAAAGTTAAATCCTGATGTAACAGCTGCGATCTTAAACCCACCTGAGACATATTATCAAGAGAAAGCACTCTGAGTCCCAAAGAAAATTTCTCAAGAATCGACAAAAACTAACAAGGTAAAATGTTTCCTGAGAAAGAGATTTCCGAGAGAGAGACCAAGGGTCCTTGACACCTGGGACAGCAAAGTCACCCCTAGCAGAAGTGGTCGAAGGCTCATCTCGAGGCTCTCAGGCATGCTCTTCCCGGGGAGGCCTGCTCCCCTCCCGGGGGCACCCCGCTTCTGCCTCCCTCCCCTTTCCCACAGCACAGTGGTTACTGTGACCCTCGATCACTTTTATGAAAAATGTAGGAGGCATTTTATTATGTGTATCACCCCCCGTCTCTTTCACATCAAACCCAGTCTCTGATCAGCCTGGCATCTAGGTTTCATTGAAAAGCCCATGGAACATGAAGTAAGCCAGGCAGCTGGGAAGAGAGAGGAAGGGAACGCGATGCAAATTATAAATTTCTTTTTAAATGGGGAAAAATATCTTACGACGCTCATCATTTCCTTTTATGAATTCCTGCAAGATGCAGCTCCGAAATGGAATTCCCAAAGAGCCTTTTGGTTGTGTTCCGTTACCATGTTGGGGCTCTCGAACGAGCTTGGCATGGCGTATAAGCAGACTGAGCACCTTCAGTGTGGCAGACTTGAGCTCGGGGCTGAGGCGATCAAGATGAATGAATGAGACGCAGTCTGTGGCCCCAGGAAGACCACATGGCGCGTGGCCTGGTAGGGAGGGCCCTCAGAGAAACAGCTGGATCTGGGACACCCGCACCGCAGAAATGTAGAGGTGGCAAGTGTGGGGGCAAAGCTGAGCCCATGTCCAGAGCCACACTGGTCGAGTACAGTGAGGGTGTGATACTTTATCAGCGGGATGCCAGGTGCTTGGGGCAGGAATCGGTTCTAGGCACAGCTCCTGGAATACAGTAGATGCTCAATCGACATTATTTAATAAAGGAAAATTATAGGATTCTTTGGTGGCTATTCCTACTTACTCTATACCTGTACTTCCTTAAAGAGAGAAGAGCTTAGAGTGTTTGGTTCATTTTAGTGTTCCTGGACAAAAAGACTTGAATGTGTGTCAGCAGTGCAGGATCTGAGGGTCTGATCTGAGTTGACTTAATCCAACAATTATTTTGAGCATCTGTAACAGGGGGTCAACAAACTTTTTCTGTAGAGGGACAGGTAATAAGTATTTTAGGCTTTGTAGGCAATACAGTCTCTATCCCAGCTACTCAGCTCTGACCTCGTAGCACAAAAGCAGCATAGACAATATGGAAGCAAATGAGTATGGCTGTGCTCCAGTGAAACTTAACTCTATTTACAAAAACAGGCAGCAGGCTGTTTGCTGCCCCTGATCTATAGTATGCTAAGCCTGGGCAATAAAGGCAATTTTTTAAAGCTGGAAGATGTGAGTTCCTGCCACTCTATTAAGCTTTAACCTGGTTGGCTAGAGACACTAGAAGACAGGGATCATCTTTCTAGAAGGACCCTCAGCCCCACTGAGGTAGGCAGGGCTTCTGCCCAGGGAGGTGGGCGGGACTGTGCCTGGAGGTGGGCACAGCTGGGTCCCAGAGTGTTGGAGGAAGCTGCACCAGAGAGGGTAGAATCTGCGTGGGCCTCCAGTTCAGGTCTGTTACACCTATCTGCACAGTGCACCTGCCACGTGGGAGGCTGTTAGAGGCAGGGAAGCAGCCCCTGTCCCCGAGGGCTCGCTGTCTGGAGACAGACTCATGAACATAAAGGGCATCCCATGACACAGGCAGGGGCAGAAGGAAATGTGGGGGACAAGGAAGCCTGGCCTCTAACTCAGAATGGAGGAAGTCAATCCAGAAGAGGCCACTAGATAAGGTGGCACCAATGCTGAGACCTGGACTTTAGAAGCATTCATTTATTCACTTGCTCATGAGACATTCACTAAGCATTCACTATGTGCAGAGCGCTATTGGTGTAGAGGATTCAAAGAAAGTTGGGGCTTTTGTGAAGGTGACATTCCAGTGGAGGCAACAAGAAATCAACAAGCGCACAAATACCCCATGGACAGTGTCAGAACCCAGTGAAGCAGGGGAGAGTGGAGGGTGAGGGGGTGGGCGAGGGCAGAGAGGGATGTCATCCTCATAGGTGGTCAGGACAGCTTCTCTAAGAAAAGGAATTAGCTAAGAGGAATTCACGGAAGCAGGTGACTGAGGAGGGAATGGCAAGAGCAGAAGCTGTACTAAGGCAGGAGCAAGGCGGTGTGTTTGTGGATCCGAGCCCAGTGCATGCGTGGACGGCCTCCTCCGTCCAGCATGAGGTCGGAGAGACAGCAGAGGAGCCTGCTCCCGTCCGGAGGAAAGCCGATCTCATTACAATGTGATGGGAACCATCGGCTGGGGCATTGATTTGGAAGGCCCCTTCTGGCTGCTGTAGCAGAGGTGGGGGATCATAAAAGGATAATGACGAAGGCCGGCAGGCCAGCTGGGGGCTGTCGCGGTCGTCCCGGAGAGAGGTGATGGCGGTTGGACCAGTTGTAGTTGTGGCGGCGAGAAGTAAGGTGCTCTTTGGGAGGCAGAGCTGACAGGACCAGGGGTGGCCAGGTGACTGCAGGTGGGCAGAGACAGGACACTGCTGGGTGTCCAGAGGACAGCAGATGACTGTGAGGAGGGACAGGGGTCTCAGGGATGGGGAGAATCCAAGAAGGTGGGAGGGGCTCATCAAGGAGGGACAACAGAGCCCTGTGTGCCCAGACCAGCATCTCAGGCTCTGACCGTTCACACTCAGCTGGCCCAAGACTTGGAGGGGCAGAGGGGCAGGCAGGGTGGACTCCAGAAGGGGGGCTGGAGCTCCCGCTGTTTCCCAGGTCAGGGAACACAGTCCACCAGACCCTACTCTCCTTAGGGGCAGGGTCTGTTCTGAACCAACTCTGACTCCCCAGTGACCAGCACAGAGCCTGGCACGGGGTCACGTGCTTCTGGAATGGACGGAGGCCTGCATGTGTGTAAGTGTGGGGCTTTAGTACATACTGCCTGAGTTCAAATCTGACTCTGCCACTTCTTGGTTAACCGCCTTGGGCCTTGGATTCCTCACGATGGGGACAGTGGTCATCGATACTTCCTAGGGCTGTAATGAGGCTTACGTGATTCCGTATAAGACAGCTCTTCGCACCGACCAAGATCATAGTAAGCCGTCAGTAGGCATCAGCGATGACTGGCGTATGCTGCACTGTGGAAAATGCAAAGGATACAGATTGAGCAGGGAAGGGAGAGAGGGCACGCCAAGAGGAGGGCTTCAGTTTGCAGTAGGGTGGTCAGAAAGGTCCTCGCTGGGACGCAGACCTAGAGGAGGAGGGTAGCGGGGCACATCTGGTTCTACAGTATCCTGGGAAGAGCATGCCATGCAGAGGGAACAGCCAGTGCAAAGTGTCTGAGGCTGGCATGCCCAGGGACAGCCAGGAAGCCACGTGGTTAAGAGGGCATAAGCAGGCAGATGGGAGGCCAGGACCTGTAGGCCTCAGCTTTAATCTGAGATGGGACTTCGATAGGTCCTGAGCAGGGGAGAGGTGGGGACGACCATCTACACTAAAAGCATCACTCTACTTCTGCTGCAGAAGTGACTGTGGGGTCTGAGCAGGAGCAAGGAGGCCAGGAGGAGACGATGGTCATAATTCAGGCTAGAAATGCCAGGGTGGGGAAAGGGCTGAGAAGGGGTCTGATTCCGGATGTATTTGAAGGCAGAGCCACCAGGATTTAAGACAGGCTGGACGGAGAGAGGTGAGAGAAAAGACGGACTCACAGACATCTAGGAGTCCTGACTTGGGAGACAAGGAGCAGTGCTGCCCTTGACTGAGGCCAGGAATGTCGGAGAAGGATGAGTTGCAGGGAGGTGACCACTGTGTTTTCCGACCTGCATGTCATGATTTCTGTGATGGATTCTTCTCCCCCTCTGGACCATGAATAGCTACTCCTCTGGGTGGCTGCAAATAGAGAGTTCTCCCCACTTCCCACTATACTCAGCACAGTGCCTGTCCTGAGTCAGGCCCAGGAGATGTTTGCTGAGTGAATAAATGAGAACCTGCCCTCCCTAGGGCGGCCTGGCAGGATTATCATCTTCCCAAAATGAGGATAGAGGTGGGTGCTGGGTCTCTAGTTGAGCCAAATCCACCCTTCCCAGCCTCAGAGAACCTTCCTCCTCTCTGCTCCCCCTTCTCCATCTCCCTCTGTTGGTCCCACCAGGGACCGAGGGGTTTCCTACATACCTAAGCAATTGTCGGAGGGAAGATACCAAGTAGCAAGATCTGAGCTTGGGATTTACAGTGAAAGGACTGAGTTCAAGGTGAGCTCTGCTCTGTGGCCTTTGGGCAAGTTACACAGCTTCCCTGAGCCTGGATGAATACTGATCCCCCAAGGGGCTCTAAGGGTACATACAACAAGACAAGGGCTGGGATGGTACTTTGCTAGGACTCCCCAGCTGCCTCAGGGGAACACGCGAGGGAAGTCTACCACCTCTTCCTTCTGCTAGACTTTGGAAGGGCCACAGGTCCTCCCAGCTCCTTGAAAGGCTGGAGCTACAGCCCCACCCTCCCATTTTACAGATGAGGGAAAACCGAGGCCCAGAGAGGGAAAATGCCTTACCCCAGCCCAGGACCCTCTCTGAAACGCCACCTGCCTCCCATAATGCTGTCCAGGGCCGAGTGCTCCTGTCCACGGTCCCAGCCCTGAAGCCCCTTCTAGCGAAATCGAAATCGTTGTGAGAGACTTTCCTGCCAGAGGTCATCGAGGTCAGCATCTGAAACAGCTCAGACCGAACCCTGCAGGCGGGGAACTTCCTGCACTGCGCTGCCACAAGGCTGGTGAGGCTAGTGCGCACTCCCGTCCGGCCAAGCGGAGCCGTCATCTCACCAAGCGGGCCGCCCTTCTGCACTCCGCGCACGGTGACAGCTCCTCTTCCCTCCTGGCTCACTTGTTTAAGTGCTGGTTGCAGCCACCGTGCTGACTTCACCACCTAGTCATGAGTCACAGCCTGCACTTTAACAAACGCCAGCCGAGGCAGCCGCGGGCCCGAGAGACACAGCAACAGTGTGCTCTGCTGTGGGGAGAACTGCTGTCCCCCGTGCTCGTCGGGCACCGGGCGCCGGTCTAGTCGCTTCAGATGCGTTTACTCCTGACTCCTCCTCGCAGCCGTCTGAGCTAGGTGTCTGACTCCCTGCCCATGGCAGAGGAGGCAGCTGAGGCTCAGGGAAGGCAGGCAACACAGCGAGAGAGAGACGCTCCAGCCGTCTCTCTCCTGAGCTCCTGCAGCTGATCACCAACCCCAGAGACAGCAGGAACGGGGAAGCATCCGGCACCTGCACAGATGGCACTCCCAGAGGAAGCTCCACGGGCTTCCAGATTCCTTTCATGAGTCATTATATGTCGCAAACGTTCATTGGACAACTGACTATGTCTGTGCCAGGCCTGACACTTCATACCTTATCTTCATCCATCTTCACAACCACCCTAAAAGGCAGGTTCTGTCGGTGTCCCCATCACACAGGTGAGAAAGGTGAGGTACCGAAGCCGCACGGGCAGTTGGGAGGGCCAGGAGGGAACCCCAGGTAGTTCACACCTGGAGCCCACGCTCCCAGCCACCACTCTTGACTTCTCTCCCTTCCTCTCATCCACCATTTGTCTTCTTCCCCTTTCTCTGACATCCTTCTCTCTTCTCCAATAACACTCTCTCCCTCCCTCCTTCCCTTGCCTCTCCACTCCATTCCTCTCCTTCTCCCTTCCTGTTCTCTCTCTTCTTTCTTCCCTCTCCTCCTCTCCCTCCACACACTCTCACACTCACACATTCTCACTCACAGGCCCTCATACGCTCTCTCACAATACACTCACGCACACACATTTACACAACCCCTTTCTCGGTCACTGGCTGCCCCATCTAGCACGGCGAGAAGGAAGAGAGGAGAGATACCCAAGAGCCTACAAGCTCCTCCCGACCGAGCGCATCCGTGATTCTATCCCGTTAGGATGGATCAAATCTCAAATGGGATAACAGGCATAAAGAGCTTAACGCTGTGCCCAGAAAATCAGGAGCCCGCCCTCCCTATACCTGATGATGACACTACTTTGATTAAAGACCGTGACTGGCACAGGGAATAGGTATGACGACGGCCTGGCTGAGTGGGCCCTGATGGGGGGTCTTGGGGGACACAGGACCATCAGAGACAGACAAGACCTGAGAGATCACCTAGTCCAACCCCATCAGAGTGCACACCTGGACCCAGAGGAGGAAAAGTACGTGCTCAGGTTCCGTGGAGAGCCAAGCAGAGACTAGGCGCCAAGTCTGGGTCCATCGACTTCCCACCACACCCACCCACACAGGGCACCCCCCCACACCTCCTCCTCTGCCTGACTGAGTGAGGAAACCGCTGGGCCTCCCCATGCAGGCAGCTGCCCCATCCTCCACTTGTGCCCACCACAAAAAGGTATTTCACAGCAGGACAGCCATTGATGCTGGAAGCCCACTGGGACACTAGATCGCAAAATGATTTGTCTACAGAATTTGGCCAAAAAGAGGATTAGCAAACAACTTATAGCTCAGGCCACCCCATCCAGAAGGCAAGATGTCATTCCCTCCTGGGTACTTATGACACTCTTCATTTCTGTCATTAGCATAGAAAATAATAAATTATTTATAGTTTACCAAAATTCTGCATGTTCAAAAGTTCGAGAGTGCTTCCAACACTCTTCTTCCTATTTAATCACCGTAACCCTGTAAGATAGACTGAGCTTGAATTTTTGTCTCCAGGTAGAGGCTCAGGGACACCACGAGATGTGCCCAAGTTCTTCCAAACCAGTGACTAAATACTGGGGCTCCCAAAGCCTCAAGGCTAAGCCCTCTGCCCTTCCATGGGCAAGTTCCTCTGTGCTTAGCTCTGTGTCTACAAACCCCCTTTTACAGCTTCAGCCCAGACCACACCTCTGTGCCACAAACCTGCACATCCAACTGCCCCTCCGTACTCCACCTGCATATCTCCAAAGCACCTCAAACTCACTGTGTCCCAAACCAAACCCTGATTTCTCTCCCCTCACTCCTTAGGCTTGATCCTCTCCCACTCTCACAAGTGGCTTTATCCAGCCAGCCAGCAAATCTGAGACCTAGAAATTATCCTCAACACCATTCTCTTCTCCACCCCTATGCACCCATCACCAAGCCTCAATTTACTTCCTAAATATCCCTCTGCCCATGCCCTCTGTACTCACCCTGGTCCAAGCACCATCATCACTTGTCTAATGAGCTGCAATGCCTGTAACCACCCTTGACCCCTTCTTAATCCATGTGCTTATTAAGATGCAAATCAGATTGTGACAGCCCTACCTCCTTTAAGCCCTTTAATGTTTCCCATTGTCCTTGGGATAAAGGTAAACTCTGTAACATGACCCATAGGCCTCCAGGTGACCCATAAGCCCCTGTGTGGTCTGGACCTGTTGGCTTCATCTCTCTGTGTTCCCCCAAGTCCCTCCACCAGCTCCTTGTGATCCAGCTCCTTTCAATTCCCCGAACAAGCCACACTTCCTCCAGCCCTTGCTCATGCTGCTTTCTCTCCCAGGAACTCTCTCTACACTACGCCTCTTCTCTACCCAGTTAGCTTCTCCTTATCCATCGGAGATCAGCTCCAAGGTCACTGCCTCATATGAGCTCAGAGGAGGCTCTGAGAGATGTGAAGTGTAGGGCCAGAAAGCAGGGGAGTACAGTGGTTAGGCACACAGAGTCTAGCTTGGGTTCACAAACCCAGCGTCGCCATTTCATTGCGGGGTGGCCTTGGACAAATCCTTAACCTCTCTGTGCCTGTTTTAGCCTGTGTATGATGGTGGTAATTAAAGTATTTACTTCATAGGGACATAATGAGAACTAATGAGTACTAATATATACAGTATACAGTGCTTCAAACAGTCCCAGCATACACTCAGCACTCAATAAACATTAGCCTGTCACACACTTTCATGGTGACATATGGGGACCTTTCTTCCATAACACTATCCTGGTTGATCATTATACATTTCCTTGTGTTATCATCTGATGACATGTATCTTCTTCATGAGAATGTGGGCCCTAGAAAGCCATGGACTAGGCCTGTTTGTGCACTCTTTTTGTCTTCCATGCCCAGCCTGTAACCTGGCACAGTGGCTGGCACGCCATCTGTATTTATTCAGTGGACTCCCCATTGTCAAGGGCAATGCATCTCCCTGTACCAGACTATGCGGGCTTTCTCCCATATAAGTGCATTATGCTTTCAACCAGGGGTGGCCAAACTGCAACTAGCAGGCCAAATCTGGCACACCAACTGTTTTTATAAATAAAGTTTTATTAGAATACAACCACACTCATTTGTTCACATTGTCTATGGCTGTTTTCACGCTACCATGGCAAAGTTGAGTAGTTGCGACAGAGACTGTATGGCCAGCAAAAGCCAGAAACACTTATTATTTGTCTCTTTACAGAAGAAGGTATTTGTAATCTCCTGGAAGCCAAGGCCCATGGTCTCATGGGGTTGGTATGAGGGTTAAATGGGTCAGTCCATGGGAGGCATTTAGAACAAGGTCAGGCACATAGGAAGAACTCCCTAAGTATTAGCAGATATTCTGTAGTTCCATATACTTACTCACAGGTCAATAAATATTTGTCCATTGAACAAATCAGGTAGAATCTGCTTCTTGTGATAGATTTTAGTTCTAAGAGCACACCAGCTTCAGTGCGAAGTAAGGCCAATTCATGGAGAAGTTATATCTAAAGCGGGAGAGACATGAGAAATAATAAAAATTGCTATCTTTTACTGTACTCAGAGGAAACTAAGGCACAGAGAGATGAGATAATTTATCCAAACTTACAAAACTAATAAATGCTACAGCCAGATTCAAATTCAAATCCAGACCGTGTAATTCCCTAACCACTACACCACATTGCCTTTCCATGTGCCCCAAGTCCCCCAAAGGGAAGGAGCTAAAAACTTTGCCTAAGAAAGTCAATGAAGGCTTCACAGACAAGGGGACTTAAGAGTTGGATTTGGATTTTGATGACTGAACAGAAGTTTGTCATGTGAAAAAGAGCAAGAAAAACATTCTAATAAAAAAGCGTGGAATTTCGAAACTCAGAAGTATGCAATAACATAACTTGGGAAGTTTGCTGTGACGGAACAGGAGAGAACATAGACATGAAGCTGGAGATGAGCAGAGGCCAGGTCACACAGGGCCCTGTGGGACTCATGAGGCACTGGAGTTTGGTCCTCCAGGCGGAGATGAGCCCCTGAAGGGCTGTGAGCTGGCCAGTGGCCTGCTCCCTCTCCCTCCTCCCTAGTATTGCTAAGCAACCTCAACTCTGGTCCATCAATAAAACCCCCACTCCCGTGTGCTGCCCTCTCTCCTCCCTCCTGCATCCCGCCGTCTCACGGCCATGTTCTCTCTCTCTCTCCCTGACCCTCCATGTTCCACAGGGGCCGTGAGGGCCTCGAGCATTTTCCCAATCCTGAGCGTGATTCTGCTTTTCATGGGTGGACTCTGCATCGCAGCCAGCGAGTTCTACAAGACTCGACACAACATCATCCTGAGTGCCGGCATCTTCTTCGTGTCTGCAGGTAATGCTCTCTGCAGAGCCCAGGCCTGCCCAGTGGAGAGAAGCTGAGGTTTGGGTACCCAGTAGCTGGAAGGACCTGGCCGAGAGAGGAGGGGAGGGGGAGGGAAGAAAGGAATCTCCGGGCCTTGCAACAGGTCATATTGCAGGAAAGACAGGTTGTGCTGGGGATCTCACCTGCGCTCCCCACTGAGTCCTCCAGGATCATCCCAGACCCTCAGCCCAATGGCCCATCTTCTCCCTACCTCTTAGAAAATGGCCCAAATCCCGGGTCCCCCTTAGGTACTGGACCTATCTTTACTTGCCCTCTCCCCTCACTGCCCTACACAGGTGGGAGCAGGCAGGCACCCAAAATCACATTTCTCAGTCCAGTTACATGACAAGTCACATTTGCTTCCAGTGCCAGAAAAAGAACACGGGCTGTAGCATGAGCCATTTAATAAGAATGACTAACGTTTAAGTAGCATTTAACCACGTCCCAGACAGCTTTCACACGTAATCCTCTCCATGGCCCTACCGCGGCAAGCCCTGTCATCCCCAAAGGTTTTGAATCCAGGCAATCTGGCTCCAGGAGCCAGTCCTAACCCCCTAGTACACCAACTTCAAATATCTGTGCAGCCTTAAGGAAGCTGCTTTACCCCCTGTGATCCATTTTCTCACTAGCAAACCCCTTGAAAAGCACTCAGCAGTGAAGGCAGGTGGTAAATGGTCAATAAACAATATCTATTATTATTGTTACTCAATATGTTATAGAACGCCTCTCTCTTCTCTCCTCTCTTCCATATCTGTTTCCATTAGCTCTTCCCTTTGTAGCTCTCTTCAAACGGAATGATAAAATATTAGGGTGACGCTTGCCAAGGTCCCTCTATACCACCCACCCATCCATGCATGATGAAAACGCTGGACAGGGGAGAGTCCCATCCAGTTGTCCCTGTCCTTTAATCCCGCCCAGTGCCTGGCATCCTGCTTGGAAATTAACGTCCTTCTCTCTGATTCTGCCCACCCCGGTGCCCGGCAGGTCTGAGTAACATCATTGGCATCATAGTGTACATATCTGCCAATGCCGGAGATCCCTCCAAGAGCGACTCCAAAAAGAATAGTTACTCGTACGGCTGGTCCTTCTACTTCGGGGCCCTGTCCTTCATCATTGCCGAGATGGTCGGGGTGCTGGCCGTGCACATGTTTATCGACCGGCACAAACAGCTGCGGGCCACCGCCCGTGCCACGGACTACCTCCAGGCCTCCGCCATCACCCGCATCCCCAGCTACCGCTACCGCTACCAGCGCCGCAGCCGCTCCAGCTCCCGCTCCACCGAGCCCTCACACTCCAGGGACGCCTCCCCCGTGGGCCTCAAGGGCTTCAACACCCTGCCCTCCACCGAGATCTCCATGTACACCCTCAGCAGGGACCCCCTGAAGGCCGCCACCACGCCCACCGCCACCTACAACTCCGACAGGGATAACAGCTTCCTCCAAGTTCACAACTGTATCCAGAAGGAGAACAAAGACTCTCTCCACTCCAACACAGCCAACCGCCGGACCACCCCCGTATGAAGCCGCGGGGCCTCGCCAGCGCCGCCTGCCGGTCCCAGGCAGAGCCGGGAGTGGGGCGCGGCCGCGGGGTGGGCAGGGGGTGGGGGGAGGGTAGGGGAAACCAAACCATCCCCGGGTGGGGGGGAAACCTTCTAAAAGCAAAAACAAAAAACAAAAAAAAAACAAACAAAAAAAGAGAAAAACATAAGTAAATCTAAAAAAAAAAAAAAAAACGAACAAAATATAAGAGGAACAAAGAAGCCAAACAACAGGAAATGTGAAAAAAAATAAATGAGGGAAGGAAAAACAAACTTTAAAAAAGCAAGAGAGGATAAAAAATTAAAAATAGAAAATAAATCTAAAAGAAAATGCATGATTTCCCATGTACCATTATTTTAACATTTAATAAAAACCAATTTAAATGAAAAAATAAAAGGGAACCAAGATAACATTAAAGCAAAAAAAATGAGAAGGAGCAGAAAGAAAGGGGATTTCTTTCTTTGCATTTATCAGAGGTTTACGTTACTTGTTGTTTGTGGTTTGTTTTTTGTTGTTGTTTTTTTTTTTTTTAACTCCGGAGAGTTACTTTTCTGTTCCCTTTAACCCCAAGTGGGCTCTGCCCCCCCTGGGTGAGTTGGGGGGTGGAGACTCAGAGGCCCCGGGGCCAGGCAAGCCTCGGTCACTGCCAGGTCCCTGGAGCCTCTGGATGGGTGCCCCAGGAACGCTGGGCAAGCTCTTGGCTTGCGAGCCGGCTCCACCCAGCATTGATGGGGCAATTGAAGGCCTCCAGGTGACCCAAGAGTCCTTGGTCCCTCCTGTCCGAAAGACGCCTGGACGGGGGTGCACGTGGGGCTTGTCCAGCCCTGGGGTTCCCAGTCCTTAATGGTCCTTAACCCACTGTGATGACTTCCTAGGCCTTGAGGGAAAGGAAGGAGAGGGGATGGCTGCCGGTGGCTTGCCGAAATGCCCAGAAACCCCGGAATCCTCAGGGTGAGCCTCTTGGGGTCACCACCACCCCAAGCTCCTGTCCTTGGGAGCAAGAGATCCCACCCTCCGGGGGATATAAAGCAGCTCTCCCTCCTCACCCCTCACCTCGGGGCTACCCGATGACCCTGGGGCGATGGTGGACCCCCAGACTCATAGGCCCCCAATCCCCTGGGAAGGGGGCTCACTGACCCTTTGGGGGTCCTTGGACTCGCTGAAGCCCCCTCAAGGCTCACCGGGTCCAACAACGACATTGCAAAAAGGTTTCTTTTTACAAAAGAAAATGGAAAAACAAGTGGTGATTTTTTTTTTTTTAATAAAAAAACCACGGACTATAAATAAATGTAAATATATAATAAGTGGATTTACTTGCAAGAAAATCAGATAGTATTTTTCTTTTAATTCTTTTCCAGCTTTAAACTGTGAAAACAAAAAAAAAATGGGGTGGGGTGGGGGACTTAAAATTTAGCAGGGAACTTGTAAAGAGAAAACAGAAAACAAATATACCAATCCATTTAAAAAAAAAAAATGCTGTTGTGAGAGATTAGAGCTGGATTTAAAGCAGGAGGGAGAGAAGAAGGAACTGCAGGGAGTGTCTGTGACAAAAGATCTCTTCCTTATACCGAGAAGGTGCTGCTACTGTGGAAGAGAGAGTCACGATGGAGAATCCAGTCTTCACGAAGGAGATCGCACACCCCACTCTCACACACACACACACACACACACACACACACGTCCTAGAAGCCCAGCATTTGAATCACTCACAGGAATACACATGCCATTATAAACCATTCCATCCCTGTACACAGCCAGAGGCAGAGTTCAAAAAAGACGGACTTATACCCTCCAAAGCCATGGACAACGACAACAGCTCTATGTTGGCCTTTATGCTCACGCGTGCCCTCCTACCACACACACACACACACACACACACACACACACACACACACACATGCCATGCTTGCATGCATGAAAAGGGCACAAGTCTAGAATCTAGCTTTGAATTCTGGAATCCCTTGCTGTGTGGCCTCTCTGGGCCTCAGTTTCCCCCTGTGTGAGCATGTGGATTGACCCAGATGAGCTCCAAAGGCCCATTCTTATTCTTGGCATCAACGACTTTAAGATCTGCCACCTGCCCAGAAGAAGATGCCAAGGACAACCAAAATAGCTGCCATCCAGCCCCCAGACACTGAGAACATTTCCAAATCATCAGGCAGCCATTCACACAGACGGACGGACACACACGGACACACACACACACACACACACACACACACACATGCCCCATATGCCTCCTCACTGTGCTCCCAGTCCCCTGCCCCCACATCCAACGTCAAAGCAAAAATTACACACATGTGAGCAAACGTATCCTGCCTTTCAGATAGAGAGGGAAAAGGCACCAGAAAGCCACTCTTCATCTTGTGTCCCCTTTCTCTAATTCCATAACCTGGTTACAGGAAGGAAAGGGGCTTCTTTGAGAGAAGAGGTCAGCCATCAGGGTTCCCCCACTGTCTTTGGGGTCAGAGGAAAAGAGGGTCCTCTGAGGTTTGCTGGGAGTGCTTAAGGCTGAGGGGATGGAGACAAGAGCTTTACAAAGGTCGGTCCCAGGGTAAGGACCAACCTCAAAAGTTAAACTTACACCACAGACTAAAGTCTGGGGCATCTCATGTTGCTCCCCTTTCTTCCCAGAGGGACGAGCGCCAGGTTGGACTGAGAGACACCCAACAGTTTTCCAAAGGTTGAATTTCAGCTCAGCCTGCCAGTCACTCTTCTGAAGGTGGGGTGCCCTGCTGCCCCCATCAGCACGTCCTGGTTTGCCTGTTTCTGACCTGGCCTGAAGTTTCCTAAGCTGAGCTCTGAGGAGTTGGGGGGAGTGGCTAGCAAGGCTTTTGGGGTTTGTGCACTCCCGGCTGCCCTTCCTCTCTTTTGTCTGGGAAAGGAAAGCTCTGTTCTCAGGTCAGCAGCAGCTGGAACCCTAAATTCAGCCTGAGCCACAAGGCAGAACATCTGCCAGCCCAACCCAGAAGTGCACGGGACGCCATGGGGCCCCAAGGCAGAGCAATGGAGGCCAATGCCAGGTGTGGGCAGAAATCACGATCTCTCCCCACTCCCACTCCAACCCTGCCAGCCAGCCCGCCAGACTCCAAACCTGAAAAGATCAAGGACTAGAAAGAAGGGTGAGGCCCCAAGAAAACAGCAATTAAGTGGGCGCTATCCAAAGAGGAAAACTGGCCCAATTCTCTGAGTTCTGGCAGTTTGGGAGTGTTTGGGATGACAACTGGCTCTGCTATGCAGGCCCTGAGGCCTGGGTCCTGGGTCCTCTTGAAGAAGGCGCTCTGGGTGTGGGTGAAACCAGCTTGGCTGAGAAAGGGCCAGGGGCCCAGACGGGGTCGGGATCGGGGCGGCAAGGGCATTGCTTGCCAGGGTGGACGATTGCTCATGTCCAGCTCAAACCAGTTCAAGAAATCAACCTCCATTTTCTTTTCTTGGTGGGTCCTTTTTTTTTTTTTTTCAGACTGTTAACAGAAAAAAATTTTAAAAAGCAGAAAACTAAAAAAAGAAAAAAAAGAAAAAAAATCCTGGTACATGAAATAAAGATTTTTTTTTATAGCTTGGTCCTTACTTCGGTGGATTTCTTTAATTGCTTTCCCAACTCCCGGCATCCCATTTAAGACCATCGCAAAGCCACGGATTCTCAGAGTTGGGGAATGGGGAGGCTTAGAGGCAATGTTCCCAGTAGCGTGTGCCCACTGCTCAGGTCATAAGTCCTCTCATAAATATTCCTTCCTGACGCCTCTAGTGGCAGGGGGCTCACCCCCTCCACAGGCAGCCCTCATTGGTGAAATCCTTCTCTGCCTAATGTATTTCAATCCACATTTCCTTGGAATCTGGCAACACTGGATGAATCCCTTCCCCTTTCAGCACAGCGGTCCCTTCGATGCTTGAAGACAATGAGAATGATGTCCTTGAGTGTCTGTCTGAGAATAAAGCAGACCCCCTCAACAACCCTGTGACACTCCATGAGAGTGTACGGCCTGGAATGGACGCAGTATTCAGAGGGCTCCCCTCACGGGGGTGCTCCTGGAAGAGACCGTGGACTGGGAACCAAATGGGGAGGGTCTCGGAAGGGGCCTTGGGAAAGCAAGATGGGATGTGTCCTGATCAGCTTGGGCTGGTCTAACAAAACACCAGAGACCGGGTGGCTTAAACCACAGACATCTATATCTCGCAGTTCTGGAGGCTGGGAAGTCCAGAATCGGGGTGCTGGCAGATTTGGTGTCTTCCTGGCTTACAGATGGCTGCCTGCTCTCTGTGTCCTCTCGATGCAGAGAAAGAGTTCTAGTCTTTCTTTCTCTTCTTGTAAGGACACTAATCCCATCGTGGGAGCCCCACCCTCATGACTTCATTCCACCCTAATTACTTCCCAAAGACGCCATCTCCAAACACTACCACATTGGGGGTTAAGGCTTCAACATATGTATTTGGGGCAGGGGGGACACAAAAATACAGCTCATAACAGGATGCTATCAGGAGGATCTGATCCTTGACAGTGAAGAAAGACCCCATTCGAAAGCAGCTAAAGTGCTCACCCCGCATTGTCCAGCCTTGGTCTGGTCAAACTGCCAGGGTGAGCTCTTTGAAGGAGGGCTGTACATGCCTCGCAAAATGCATTAAACACGCTTAGTTCATTTTAATTTTAAAAAATTGTCATACTGCATAGGATGGAAGGAAGGAAGGTATTTCAAAATCAAATCAAGATTTGAAAAGCAGACAGAAAAGTACTCGTCTCTTGGCAAATTATAAAATGTTTCTTCTCCTGTGCCTACCTTCCCTTTAGAATTCCTGCCCAATTATCCTTGATGCAAAGATCCGGTATAAACTCACAACTGATGCCATGACAAACAGGAAAAAGGAAAGTCGACCACTGCCTGTTTAGAATGAAAACATGATGATACATTACTCTGAAAGGAGATAAAAGCTTCATTGTGTCCTATCAATATCCATCATCACAAACAAAAAACATGGGTCTCATTCATTACAGTACTAGGAGAACCTTATGGAGACCATCTACATCACCTTAGAAACAGCCATGATAATGCACAGTGATGAGGACAGGCGAGAGCCCCAAAAGTTGCGACCCCAGTCCCGACACAGACAAGGGCTTCTTCATGAGCTCCAAGAGGTTAGGTCTCTGGGAGAGAAGATACTGTCTAAGATTCAAGGGAGGAAGCTTAGTCATTGAGCAGCTCTCCCTGGGCTCAAGGGAAAGAAGACAGCACACAGAGGAGGCCTGAGCCACCTACAGAAAGGCCAGCCCCGCACAATGGGGACCCAGGAAATGCCACTCTAGAACTGGCCAACGCTCAGCACTCCCTGCTCAGTTCAGCCCAAGTTCCCAGGGGCCACACAAGCGCCTGTTCCTCCAGGCTCCCCGCTAACATTTCCAGGTCCCAGGGCGGGAATACAAATGGAGGCCCACATACCATAAATCTAAATATTAAACAGCTAAAATTCAAACTAACAATCTTTAAAATTAATGTTCCCTCCTTCTATCCTGACAGATATATCTTCATGATGACCTGGAATAGTAGGTTTGAATTTAGAATTCTTAACCACATCTGAATTCTGTACCCAAAAGTGGCAGCATGGGGCAAGCCTGCGCTGGGCCCTTGACCCTGGCTCCTAGCATACAGCCAAGCCCCCTTCCCTTCTCACCTCTAGCTCCTCTCAGCATGTGCAGGGCCTCTCCCACAAAGGGGGTGCCCATCCCAGCCTGCACATCCAACTTCCAGCTACAGCTGCCAGAAATGGCCACTCCTTGGCTACCTGTTGGGACAGGCCAACCACAGGACATCACCTTAGATAGTAGCTGGTCCTGGAACCTGGCTCAGTACCCTCTGGGCAGGAATTCTAAAGTAGCAGACACCAGAGAAAAGTCTAGAAGAGGAATGTGGGCTCAGGGTGAGCACATCCCATTAGCCCACGGGAAGGGACATGGCCAGAGGTGGAGGTCCCTCTTACACGTGTCCACAGTACAGCCTCTCTCTGGCTTTTGATTGTATTTTTCAATAGCCAAGAGCTCTGACTTCCAGGGTCAGAGGAGAGGCCTTACATCTCAGAAGATTTATGCCTTCATAGGCAAAAGAAAAAGGTACAGTTGGAGTCCAGAGAGGACAAGCAATTTATCCAGACTTGCACAGTGAACTGGCCTCAAACAGGCTCCAGGCCCCAGCCTCCTGACCCATCCACCCCTCCACCGTCCCCAGCCACCCTTTCTGATGGAGGGTAGAAGCCTTCCTTCTCCTCCACTCACGTTCCAGGCTTAGTTTCTCTCTTGCAATAGTGCTGACCTCGCCAAACTCCAAAAGCTCCGAGAGTGTCTTCAGCGGGTAAGGGAAGGCGGCTGTCTCAGTGAGTGTCTAGACCTGCCTAACAAGAAGCATCAGTTTGGACTGGCTTCCAAGCTGATGGCTGAGAAAGCTGGCTGGTAGCCAACAACTGCCTGCCCCGCTAGTGCCCAAAGAAATGTCTCTGGGACAGCTTGCAGACTTCTCCCGGGCCGAAGGAACCCTGTCCTGCTTGCCCTTCCTGCCATGGACTGCCACAGACACAAATTCAGCGGTGTGCTGGGGCCACCTCCTACAGGCTCATGAGAGCCAACCACATGCATCTCTTCTCAACTCCAAGTTCAGTGAGGCCACACCAACACCCTGAACTCAGTCATGGTGGGAGTGTTTACACCACAGAAATAGGCAAATGCTACAAATTAGGGATTTTTTTAACAAAGAGTTGATTGTCAAACATTTACCAGCATACCACATACCATAAACCTGTAGGTATGGTGTGTGCACGGAGGTTCGCTAACGCACACCTTCGAGACACAGCCGTAGCCCCTACATTGCAGGTATATGTGTATGTCCACATACGTATTCTTACATGCACACACACACACACACACAAGAGGTTCGCTAACGCACACCTTCGAGACACAGCCATAGCCCCTACAGTGCAGGTATATGTGTATGTCCACATACATATTCTTACATGCACACACACACACGCACACGCACACGCACATGCACGTACACTTCTGAAATTAGATCCACTCTACTAGGCCTTGAACTTGGTCCCAAGTGTATGGACATGACAAGGACATGGACTATCCTGCAGGACGCCCTCAGTAGAGACAGGGTCATGAACAAGGAAACGGAGGGCTGCTGAGAAAGATGACAAAGCCGCACAAAGGCGTGGAGAGGACGATGCACTAGCTCAGGGCGGGGACACAGAGGAGAGGGTTTCAGCGAGGCTGTTTGTGCCCATCACACACGTTCCTCTACGTACTTAGCCTACGTGCACTCGTAGACCCGTCTGTGCACTTACATGCACAGGTAAGCACAGAGATGTGTATACTATGTCACATCTATGTGGACACATGTACCATATGTGCATGCATGTGCCTACATGTGTGCACCTATATGTACCCAAAACATCTGTCAGAACAAGGGAACACAACACTAGGGCAGATGGCCCGTTTTTGTCACCAGGCGTACCCAGCCCTGAAACGCTAAACCTGGCCTTCCTCCCCGCTCTCTCTCCCTCCTGCTCTTCCTCAGTGTCTGTCATTACCTCTCTGTCTCTCTCTCTTTCAGTCTCCCCCTCTCCCTCTCTCTTGCCCTGGCTCCCTTCCACTCTCTCTCCTTGTTTTCTCTCCCCTCTCCCTTTCCCTCTGAGTTACCAGTCTAAGGCTCACCTCACCCACGCGGTTATGCAAAGGATTCCAGGGGGAATAAGAAGGAGATGGTAAGATCAACCCAGGTACCTTCTCGGCCACTACTGCTTGAAGCGGAGAAGGAAAGGGGACCATGGCTGGGCTCTCTGAGGCAGCCCTCTGCCAAGAGACGACAAGAGTGACGTCCGGCGTAAGGGGGAAGAGAGTATCTCTTCCCATCCCGTCAAGGCAGGAAATCTGGGATGACCTGTCATGGCCCCTGAACTGTTCAAAATCTTATAGGCGGTGGGGGTGAGTGAAACTCAGGGGGTGGGGAGGAGAGCCAGGGGAGGGAGAGAGTTGAACTTGAGCTAGACTACTATTTCTTTGTCACTCCCTCACTTGAAAACATTCAGTGGCTCCCTAGTGCCCTCACAGTAAAGCCTGCAATGCCCTCCCTTGTCAAGGCGCTGGGATTTATGGAGAGCCTACAATGTGCCAGGCACTGCAGATCATACATATCCGATAAGGTTGTTATGAGGAGTAAATGGATTTAAAGCATCAGCACCGTGACTGGCACATCATAAACGTTACACAGCACTTTCTATACAAGTGAACACTCAAGAAATGTGCCGTTGCACCAAGACGCACTCAGAGTGTGGCGGAGCTGTGTCCAGAGTTCTCAGTCATACCCACTACTCTGTCCCACTTCTGTCACCTACATACACAAAACCTGCAGGGTCATGGGTACGTTAATGGAGGCTGCACAGGGCACAGAAGGGCAAGGAGAGGGAGGGGGTGTTCTCCCTGGCAGGGGCGAGGGGGCACAGGGTGCAAAGGCAGTGCCGGGAGAGGCTTCGCAGTCCTGAGTGGGAAAGCCCTCCAGAGCTGGAGCTTGGGCTGTACCCACCTCCGTCCTGGTGCTGCCCAGCCTGCCTCTCAGGAATGCTGCAGGACTGTCCCGATGCCTGTCACTCATTCATTCATCCCCACGCTCTGTGCACAATGATGCGGGGAGCACCAATCCAAATAGACACGGCTCCAGGCTCCTGTTCCAGAGTGGAAGAGGGAAAATGAGCAAGTTCAGAGTCAAATAATTAGATAAGCACAAGTTATCATGAGTGCTGTGAAGTCAATGCATTGGGGCAATAATGAAAGATAATAATAATAACAGGGCTTGAGGCCTCTCCTTTGGTTACCTAAAACTTAGCGTCTTAAAATAATAATAACTGTTTTATTATCTCTCACAGTTCCGTGGGCTCGGCCGGACAGTTCTTCTGCCTTACACGATGATGACTGAGGCTGCAGTCACCCGAGAACTTGACCGGGCTGGAGCAACCAAACTGGCTCAATCGTGTGCTGTAGTCAGTGCTGAATGTGGGCTGGGAGCTCCGCCAGGGCTGTTGACCCAAACTCCTCATTTCTATCCCCTGTGGCCTCTCTGTGTGTCTTGGGTCTCTCACAGCATAGCAAGTGGATGAAATTGAAAGCTGCCAGTTATCGGAAGGCCGAGCCTCAGAAGTGTCAGCAAGTCACCTCTGCCATATCGTCGGTCAAAGCAAGTCTCAAGGCTAGTTCCAGGGGGAGGAAATATCGAGTCCACCTCTGATGGGAGTAGCGGCATGAGCGTGCGAGGTGAGGCAATGCTTAGCCGTCCTTGAAGGCTACCACAACCCCTTGAGATAGAGCAGTCATGGGAGGCCTCTGTGAGATGCTAACTTGCAGCTAAAATTCGAAGGGTAAAGAAAGTGAGCCAGACAAAAACAGAGAAGGGAAGGGAAGAGGAGGGGAGGAGAGGAGAGGGGAGGGGAGGGGAGGGGAGGGAAGCTTCCAGGCAGAGGGAACCACATGGGCAAAGCCCCTTTGCCTCAGGCAGGAAAGAATTTGGCCTGTAAGTAGATCGAAAAGATGACTGAAATGGTTATCCCTGGTGAGCAGGGGACGAGTGACACAGGATAAAGTGGAAGAGAGGGGCAGAGGTCAGTCATCACAGAGCAGGCCTTTTGATTTTAAGCGCAAGAAAAGCCGCTGACTCAGATGTGACGGGTAAAATCACCCCTGAGCATCCCATACAAAATTCACCAAACCAGAGCCAGGGCTAGATACTGTGGGGGAACAGATTTCAGTTAGGAAAGTCCCTTTCCTGAAGCTCATAGTTTTATTTTATTATTTACTCATGATCTGTGATCTGCCCTTTTCCATTCAATTAACCTCTACTTATGCAGCCCTTCTGTGAGTAGAACAGCTTATAGTAAAAGACACATAAATAACAAGAATATTAAAGGTAGAAAAACCAAGGCCATGGAAAGGAGAAAGGAGCAATATGACAAAAAGTACAAGATTCCTGGCAGGCAAGGCGAAAAGGGAAGCATCATAAATTCTGTAGCTTTCATTGTCAAAGGCAATACCTCAACTGCTGTAGAGAGTAAAAATTTGTTCTTGCTTTCATTCTCTCCGGAGAAGAGAGAAAAAACACATGAAATAATAATTAACACCTCAAGCCGAAAAGTGCAGAAGGCCAAAAGACCACCCCAGACAGAAAACGAGATGGAAAGACAGCAGAAAAGGGCAGGTGGGAGAGCACAGGCATCAGAGGTAGAAAGGCCTGTCCCTGAAGCCCGGCTTCACCCTTCACCAGCTGTGTAACGTGTGCAAGAGACAGCCTCCCTGAGCCTTCATTTCCTCATCTGCAAAATGGGTTCCATAATACCTGCACAGGTCTAGCAGCTGGGATGCTCTGAGGAGACACTGAATATGAAAGCTCCCAGCACGGTGCCTGGATGGAGCCGGTGCTCAATAAAGAGTAATAATAATCAGAGCAAGAATCTATTGAGCTTTCCCTTAGTGCCAGGCATTAATTTAAACATTTTACATCTTAATGCTAACAGCAACATTATGAGATAGGTCCTATTATTATCCCCATTTTATAAATGAGGAAATGAGGCACAGAGAGATTAAGATATGTACTCAAGGTCACAAGCAGGAATATGGTAGAGTATTCCAGGCAGTCTATTGGCTTCAGAGCTCATGTCTTCAGCCCCACATGAACCCACTTCTCCATAGTGCCACAGTGTTCTCCTTGTACCCTTCTCTCTACCTTTATCCCCCATTACACACCCACTCAGTCTGCTAGAGTGCTCACGGCCGAATGGGAGCCCCTCCCTCCATGGAGCCAAGATTCTGGTCCCATTGGCTCGCCTCGCTCTTACCTCCTTCCCACATTTCGCCTCTCTCTTGCCTTATCTCTGTCCTGTAGAGTTTTTGAAAATCACACTAACCTTTCTTTTACAAGACAGTCCTTTAGAGTCCATTGCTTCTGCTGAAGGGACTGGCAACAGGTTAACAGAAGTGAGAATCAAAGCTAACCATGAAGGATGAGAAGGATTCTTCCCATGGACTTCTTGACAGGAGAGACATAACTCACTTATCACTTGCTTGGTACATGGCAAGGCCTAGTAATCTTATGAATTGAATAAAGGTTATTTGAATTGAATTGAGTTGAATTGAATTGAATTGAACTGAATTGAACTGAGTTGAGTTGGACTGAAATGCAAGGTTGAATGGATGGAAGATGGAAGGATAGACAGATGGATGACTGGATGAGTAGATAGCTGGTTGAAGAAATGGAAAAATGAATGGATTTTTAGATGCTAAGATGATAGATGGATGGATGGATGAATGGATGGATGAATGGATGAACGTACGTAGATTTGGTGACCACAGCTGGTAGGAAAATCTGGTAACTGAAAGCATAGAAGTAGGAATGTCCAAGGTGTGTTTGAGTAACACTGAACATATCGGTGTGACGGAGGCAGAGGGCTCACATCAGGGAGAAATAGAAAAAAACTAAACACCCACCTTGCCCCTCCCATAGGGACAGATGGGAGTGCTGGGAGGGTGCTTACAAGCTGTGTGCTTGGTGGCTGCTGGGAAGGGAGGAGTTAACTGAAGGATGGCTCCCTGGCCAGCTGCGACCACGGTGACACTGACAGATTACAGCGTGTCCTCCGCACTAATAACACTGCGGCGTCCTCCGCCTGCTGCTCTGCTGCTCCCCAGCCAGCTCCGGCTCCAGTGGATCAATACCAAGAGGTGCACGCTGAAAACCCTCAGCCAATTCCCTCCAAGGCTTGGACGCGTTAACGCACAGACCCGCAGAGTAGAAGGGACCTGAGGGAGCAGTTCATTCCCTGGACTGGGAGCTCCCTGGGCCAGGGACGGTGTCCCACTCACGCTGGCATCCCCTGTTCCATCGCAAGGCCAGGCAAGGACAACGCTCTCCAAAAGTTTGCTGAGCAAATGAATCAACCTCCTGGCCAGGGCAGGAATCCTCACAAGAATATCTCTATAGCACATGGTCTCTCAGCCTCTACTTGCATACCTCCAACAACAGGAGGCTCTCCACCTCCCCCAAACAAATAGAGTCTTCCTTTACTGGACAGATCTGACAATTGAAATTGTCTTCTCATCACACTTAGTGAAATAAGCCAGACAGAGAAAGACAAACACCATATGGTTTTGCTTTTATGTGAAATCTAAAAGAAAACAAAAACAGATTCATAGAAATAGAGATCGAACTGATGGTTGCTGGAGGGCAGGTGGGGTGGGGTTGGGGACAAGTGAAAAAGGTAAAAGAGAATATAGTCAGTGAGACTGTGATAACTTTGCATGGTGACAGATAACTAGACTTAGCATTGTGATCATACTATAAGGTATATAAATGTCAAATCACCATATTGTACTCCTAAGACTAATATAATATTATATACCATATTATATACCAACTATACTTAATTTTTTTTAATTTTTAATCATCTTCTCTATTGTGAGTTAATCTCACCTCCCCCTTTATTTGTCCACAAACTTCCAATTTCTTCTATTTTCCAATTTCTTCCCCTATAGTCACCTCTATTCCCCTCGCCCAAACCTTCCAGTAACCCCGTCCTCATCTCTCGGGGTGCTGCAATCACATGACTGAGGAGGGAAAAGAAGGGACTTCGCATCCATTGAACACCTGCTCTAGGTGAGTTACATCTGACGTCTACACAGGTTGTCTCATGTAATCTTCATGAATGCCCTGTGAAGTAGGTGCTATTCTCCTCGTCTCACGGATGAGGACCCCAAGGCTCAGAGAAGTTAAGTAAATTGCCTGGAGTCACTCAGACACACAGTGGCAGAGCCAGGGCTTGAATCCGGGTCCGTGGGATTGCACCATGCCACTGTAGCTCGGGGACACACAGCATGAACACTTCCTATGTCTTGTTCTTGGCCTCAGATGAGTCTGGAAAGGACTTCGCTGGTCCTCTCTCTAATCCTCAACCCCTAGGGATGTGGAGGGACTTGCTCAAGGTCACCAGAGCTAAGGGGCTGTCCAGATTGGAAGTTCTTCCTCCGGAGCTTACTGCTTCCCTCCACGCCCCCGGCCCGAGGACAGTGGCCTCCAAATAGCGTTTCTCATGGAAGGGAACCAGGGCTCCTTGGAGAAACAGCTGATTCCAGAACTTGGAAAGGGAAAGTCCAAGATGAGCCTGGAACATCATGTTCTTCCAGGAAGCCAGGAAGTTATCAAAGACTATGAAGGCTTGACCACAAGGCTCAGTGTCTAACTCGAAGGGGCTCCCACGGGCTGGAGGAGGCCATCTGAGCATCAGAAAGAATGGGATGATGCCAGAGAACCTGCTCATTATCTTGAAAACTGGTTTCAAAACAGGGTAGGTAAGAAGCAAACGATATCTGTATTACATATTATTACACTTATTATACATAGGTCATGTTATATTGTACATATGACATGTAATGTTTCATCTACATAGAGGCTCCCTGCTCTGCCTGGGAGAGTTCTGCGCACTGTGGACACTTGTTCCCATGTAGCTGGAAACCTCTGGAGAAAGATCCCGGGCCCCCAGCCCATTCCGGCCTAGGCCTCTCCGATGCCCTTCCACTCCCCACCACCCTGCCTGTCTCTCCACAGGGAAGAACAACAGGGCAATGAACTTCTCACTGGCACTAAGGCCTGAAGAGAGAAATGACTTGCCCAGAACCCGCCGCTCAGGCCAGATCTCCTGGACGCCTGAGTCTATGGGCTCCCTGTCAGCCCAGCGCCGGCAGCTCAGTTCCAACGTGCAGCCCAATGGGCTGGAACTGCTGCTGGAGTCAGCATGAGGCAAGGACTGTCCCAGCCCCGTGGCCACCTCTCCGCTTAGTGCACCCCCAGCCCTGCCTGTCACAGTGACCCCTCAGCAGCCTCTCTTCCTCTCCTCACCCTTACTCAGTCTCTCTCCAGGCCCCACTGGTCCTCAGTCCCTCATCTCCATCTTGCCACCATACCTGGCCCCCAAGTCCCGCCCTGCATCACAAACACACACACACACATCCACGCCACCCTCCAAGCCCTTCTGCCCCTTGCTCAAACTACGATTTAATGTAACACCCTTCATGCTCACACACACACACAAAAAGTCAGGATTCAGTCCCTGCAGGCTGTTCCCAGAACCCACACTTGTGATTCACACGCACTTGTCTTTTCTTACCTTTTGTGCTTGAGTCTGGATGGAAGATCTCTAGAAGAAAACATAAGAAACTAGTAAGAAACGCGTAAGTAGTCACCTCCGGGGAAGGAGGGCTGAAAGCAGGGATATAAATAAGAGCGAGCAACTTCACTTGGTAACTTTTGAATTTGGTAACATAGCATGAAAAATCTATATAAAATTAACCAATTTGTTTTAGCGAAGGTGACCATTCAAAAGCAAAACAGGAAAAAAAAATGTCCTGACACCACCTCACTCGTTCTACGACCTTGAACCACTTACTTAAGCATTCCAAGCCTCAGTTTCCTCAGCTATAAAATGGGGGTGATAATAGTTCCTGCCTTGCAAGGTAGGTAAGAAGGCAATGCCCAGGAAGCCCTTAGCACCATGCACGGTAAATAGTCCGTGTTCGGTAAATGAGTGGTGGTCTTTTTTCTGTTCTCCTTTTCCATGAAACTCTGAACTCCTTGACAGCAAGAACCAGCGTTCAGTTTTGGATCCCAGAGCTTAGCACGGCTCCTGGCATGGCTGAAAGTCTTAAAATATTCTCTGACATTTAAGGACACAATTCACAGTCTTCGGGATAGCCTTCAAGGCCCCTCTGGCTGCCTTGCTTTCTGTCTGGCGGCACCTCTTACCTGCCCTCAACTGCATGAGGACCTATAATAGCTTTCGCTTCTGTGCACACACCTCTGCCCGACTCTCCTTCCCTCCACCTTCATGCTCCTTTATTTGCCTGGTGATCTGCACACTTGTTTCATCCTTCGAGAGCCAGCAAATGTTCCCTCCCCTGTGTAACCTGCGGCTCCGCCTCTGGTAGACTCAATCACCCCCAACACTTAGTACAGACCTCTGAGCAAGCCAGCCCTGTATTGCTCACCATTTACCCTCTGTCCTCCCCACTGCTCTAAAAGCTCCAGGAGAACAGCGGCTGTGTTTTTCATCTCTGTATCCCTAGCATTTAGTATGCAGAAGGCATAACTTAGGAAATGTTTGTTGAATGAATGAATGAATGAATGAATCACTGCTGACCACTCAGCCACCTGGCAGCCTTCAGAAGCCAAGTTATGGTGAGTCACTCATGCCCTGCCCAAGCCTCATGGTGAAAGCAGTGACCTCTCTTTGCAGTCTCTCGCACCAGCCCATACCCAGAGGCTGCGTCTCAGCCTGAGTGCACCCAGAGAGGCTTCCGGGCTGGCCGAGAAACTGCGACCGGTGCGCCATCCAGCACTGTAACCTCGGAGAAGGCTGAGCGGCCTGCAGGGAGCCCCCGGCCTCTGTTCTCCCTGCTGCAGAGGTCTGCTGAGGCCCCCCGCCAGCGCTGTGCTAGCAGTGGGTACAGAAAGACAAATAAGACAATCCCTGCTCTCACGGACAAAGAATAGCGTGGAGGAGACAGATGTTGTGTCCAACCCGTTCAATTCACCACCTGTGATTCACCGAGTGCCTACCATGTGCCACTCTACTCTGTGCCTTTCCACAAGTCTTGTCACTTCTTTTGTGCCTCAGTTTCTTCTTCAAATGGGGGTGGAAAGATTCACCTCGTCTAATATATCAGGATACATGTGGCAAATGTAACCACATAATCCATGTAAATTGCTCAGCTATGAAAACCTGTACCAATGTTGTTGTCATTGCCGTTGTTATTTATATATCTTAATATAGCAATAACGAATAACTGAAGCAGCCACAGTGACTTGCACATAGTAGATGTTTGATTGATATTTGATGCATTGAAGTGCAGTCCAGGTGACGGTTGTGACTTTTCATGCCTTGTGGAACAGCACCATCCTGTGGCCATAGCTCAGAACACAAGGACCCTATGGTAAACAGGCACCGGGCCTGGTGGGTAGGGGCTGCTGGGAACCCCATAGGGATCGTTTTAGGACAAATGCAAGGAAAGTTGGTCTGACACCACAGAACAAGGAGAAATTTCTTCGCCCTCAGAGGTGGTACAGGCTCAGAGTATAAACAGGTACAATAAAGGTTTGAAGCAAGACTGCAGATTATTTATCTACAAAGGGGTCTTTGAGAGATTTGGAGTGCCCAAGGAGTGGCCCAACCTTGCATCAGGTGGTCTGGCCTGACCCTGTGGACACAGCTGCTCATCCTTCATCTACGAAGACTTGAACTTTGCTCTGCCACTCACGAGCTGTGTGACCTTGAGCAGACCGCTGCCCTCTGAGGGCTCCAGTTTTCTCATCTGTGCAATGAATGAGGTTATAACCCCTGCACTGGCTACCGGAAAGGATTGTTGCAACAGTCAAAGGGGAAGAAAAGCACAACTAGTTCATAAACAGTAAAATGCTGTACAAACATGATGGATGATTATTAGTACAATATTTCCAATAATAGTAATAACTGGCATTTATTGATTTTCTCACTGTGCTAAACCCTTTACCATATAATCTCATTTAATTCCCCAGAAACTATATAAAATAGGTACTTTCAAGACGCCCATTTTGCAGACGAGGACACTGAGGTTTAGAGAACTTTGAAATTTTGCCCAAAGACACACAACCAATAAGGAAGCCGAGGTCTGAACTCAGGACAGTGGGACCCCCCAAGTCGGGTAGCCATGCACAATACTGTATCACCGCAAGAGTTCCAGCCACCGAACAGGGTGTTAAAGGTGGTCCCTCATCCTCAGTGGTAGGTGTCTTGAAGAAAACAAAACAAAAAAAACATTGACATTTCTCCTCTTTTTCCCAGGAAATTCTGCTTCCTTCTCACCTCTATCTCAGTATCTCTTTAGACCTCAGAGCCCTTGGGCTCTGCACTCAGGGTCCTGCTCACAGCGAAAGTCAGAAAATCCCAAAACATTCCCTTCTTGGGTCCAAGCCTGGAAAAGGGCCATGCATGCTCCTATGAAGGGCTGGCAAAGGCAGATGGGGGCACAGGTTCCCTTCAAGGTCCCTGTCAAACAGATGGTACCAATATCTGGTATGAACCATCGTAATGAACCCCATGTCTAGAGTCTTCCTGGGCTTATGAGCTTCCCCCTATCCATTTTCTCACCACTTGGCCCTCGGAACATTCCTTTGATGTCAGAATCCTTAGCCCTACTTTACAGATAAGGAAACTGAGATTCAAAAAGATAAAATAACTTACCCAAGGTCACGTGCAAGTAAGTGGCAGAGAGGGGACTCAAGTTCAAGATTCCAGAGTACAGATGCTCCTGACTCCGGAGGCCCCCACCTATTTCCGGTTGACAGTCCTGGTTCTAGGCCTAGTTGTGCCATCGGCTGGCTGTGTGACCTCAGACAAGCCACTGAGCCTTGGTTACTTTATGTCAAGAGATCCCTGCCAGCTCTAACTCTGTATCCTCTATTCATGTCCTTGAGCCATAAAGATGAGGGTGTCCAGTAGTATCCACAGGATTTACAGAGAAGCAGCTGTGACTTCACCTCCCTTGGGAAGTTTTTCCTGACTACCCAAGGCTGAGTTATTATCCTTCACTGTGCTCCCACGGCACTCACGACATTACACGGTAATTTATCTATAAATACTCAGAGGGCCAGGCAGCAAACATACATGAATGTGAAGAAAATGTCAGATGTGATTCAATTGGGAGCAGTGGGGACTGTGGCAAAGTAGCATGCCCCTGGCAAAGTGCAGCCCCTACTCAACCCCAGCTTCTTGTCGTCATGCAGCAAAGCCAGCCCAATGTTGCTAGATCTTAAGAGAAGCCAAAACTCTGAATCTTTATGTGAAATCTGCTTTTTAAATGTAGACTTAATATTTCTTTCGTTAAGTACTGCATAGGTACTGCAGCCCCTGGATTAGCCACACCTACTTTCCCACTAAACCCCAGGCTACTCAAGAGCATTATTGGATCTGTCTCTGAACCCTGGGCAACCAGCTCAGGGACTGGATCCTCATATGTGATCAGCGACTACATTTAACATGTTGCAAGTCTATGGCCATGCTACCCTGAACAAGCCTGATCCCACCTGATCTCAGAAGCTAAGCAGGATCAGGCCTGGTTAGTACTTGGATGGGAGACCACCTAGGAAGGCCTGTAGGCATGAAAAATAAAAATAAATAAATAAGGGATTGTAAGGTGACAAGGTCCTTGCAATCTGTGAGGTCAACCAAGGGTTGCCTTGCCTTAAAAAAAAAAATTTTTTTTTTAAATGTCACAAGATCTTGTCCCAGTCAAAGCCCCCACAGGCTTCTGGTGACCAGGCCAATCCGACTGCCTCGCATTAAGGGTTTACTGCTTTAAGCACATTACGCATCACCTGACTTAATTCTCGCCACTTACACTCTATGATCCCATCCATTTTATAGGTGAGGAAGCCAAAGCTTGGTCATACAACTTGCCCAAGTGGTAACTAGGATCCAAGTTCAGGTGGTCTGTCTCCACAGATGTCTGCCTGCATTGCCGTGATGCCATAGCGCCCCCACGAGACCCCCTTAAATGTCACCTGTGGTCCCTTGGCCCCAACAAGGCTCTCCAGGCACCTGCCAGGCATGGTTTCCAGTCCTGAGGACAGTGGGAAAAGAGGCACATGGCACGGAGGAGAGAACAATGCATGTGCTGCAGAAAGTGGACGTGAGATTCAAGGACGGGCACCTAGTGGCCCATGACCACAGCCAGATCAAGCCAAAATCAGCGTTTACTTTGTCCTCAGGACACCAAACTCCAGCTTCCAACAGAATAAAATGCATAGCGCAGAAAGAAAAAAGCCAAGGAGAGGCCTGAGTATTGCTCATCCCATTGAAAAGTCAAGTACTCTCTAAACTAGCTAAATGGTTCCAAAGGAAATGGGAGTCTATTTTGTCTCCTGTCGCCAGGGCTGCAAATCCTGATATATCTTCGGCCACAGAGAGAAGCGGATGGCTCAGCACTTGGAGAGATGCCCGCAAGAGGCAGGAAATGGGGTGGATGATTCAACAGGTACCTCTCTATTCTGAGAACTGATCCTGTGACGGGTGAGTGTACATCCAGCTGAGATAAAAAATAAATTTGAATGCCAACCATTGGAATGTACAGAAAACCTCTCTTTCTTCCGGGGAACTTGAAGCGT